GTGGCAGACAAAGTAGAAGATGATGTAGCTCCATTTATAGTATAATGACCATTAAAAAGAATCTTATTAGTTTAGAAAAAGAAATAGGAACAAGAAGAAGAAGGAAAAATTGGCATAAAAAGACAAAAAGAGGAGGAGAAGACAGAAAAAACCCAGAGAAAGATGGGTAGCAATAGGAATGGGTGTATAGTAGAAGTAGCAGTGATAGTTGTAGTAGAAGTGATAACAAGGTAACATCACAAACTTTTACTACTGTGGAACTAACTTTTACGACGAATAAAGCCAACCACTATACATGCAGTCAAAAATTCTTCTTCTTCTTCTTTGCGTTCACCAGCTGTAAACTCTGGCAGAAAGTTCTGGTTGTCCATCCACTTCTGAACTGCAGTCCTGCTCCAGAACCTGAGTGTTGCGTGTGCATCAGTTTTACAGATTTGATTCACTTGAATGCAGACAGTTGGTTCCTTGCCCCTCAGGCAGATGCACTCCGACTTCAAAGGAAACTTCCTAATTAGTCGATTCTTACGATATGCTTTTGGGTAGGCAGTGGGTCTATTCTTGTTTTTCCCACAATGGGGCCCCGGAACCCACACGGGGAAGTCAGAAATTATTCAGAAACTTAATATTTTCTACCTGAAAACTACATTCCCCCTTAAAGATGTCAAAAAAAGCCATTTTTAACATGACAGTGTGTGTGTGTGCGTTTGTGTATGTGCGTGTATTTGTAACAAAAAGAAACTGGGAAAGGGAAGGTGGGGTGACAGGGCATTTTTCGCACTGGGTACCCCCTGATCTTGCAATGCCACAGGTCAGAATGTCAGACAGACCTGCATTGCATGCTTGAATTCTTAAGCTTTTGAAAATAAAGTTTGTTTCTTCATTTCATTTATAAACCATAGCTACAAGGTTGTGTTTGTTTTGGCGCCCCTGTGTAAAACTTACTTTTCCTGTGTCCTGACGCTTGATCCAAGATGTCTTTGAGAACCATCACATCTGTTGAAGTAAACATTAGCAATGTGAGGAGACACACCACAGACATGTATGAATCTAATAATTACCAATGTGATTCAAAAATCCCTTTAACTCTTTCAGCCCAAACAATTAGGTTGTGTTATTGACTATTCCCCACGTCTCAATCATCACACCAAGTGTCTTCTTAAGATTTAGTCACTGTATACAAAATAAATCTGGCAACCACAAGGGTACCTTTTATTCATGTTTCATTCCTACTACATGACAAGTTATAAGTGTTTTTGTGGCAATTTGCAATTTAACAAAAATAAAGATTTATGTACAAAACCTTATGAAATAAAGATTTATGTACAAAACCTTATGGGACCAAAAGAATTTAAGACAGCCAACCCTACCTCCAAACAGTGAGAGGTGGCAAACAGGACAAAATGGGGAATTTCCAGGATTGGGCGAAGTATAGCATTGCCTTGTGCTACAAAGCCCCTACAGTAGCTATGACGGCCATCCTGGGTCAACCCCAAAATGTTCTGGCCAGTGAAGTTTTGGTGTAGCCGCTACTGGCCTAGCAAGCCGGCAGTGGCTTTATTATTGCTACAGAGAATACAATGATACATAAGGGGACCATAGAAATGAGATGTCTGAGAAGGGTTGCAGGAGTGACCAGGAGATATAAAATGGTGTTATAAGAGAAAAATTAGTCGGTACAGAACAAATTATAAATTAGATACAAAGGCAGCAAATCAAATGGTTTGCCTACTCAGAAAGAATGCCATGTGACGCTATATCATACAAGGCATATGCCAAAAGAGAAGAAGGACACAGAGCACAATAACAAGACAGAAAGATAACATCAGAGAAACTCGACAACACCACGATGTGTCTGTGGTCCAAGCGGCCAGAAGAGCAGGAAGCAGAACTTTATATCTCCCTCGACACCAGAAGTGGTTAACGAGGAAGTGAAGAAGAAGAACATGAATGGTGAATAAATATAACAGTATATTCGAAATAATATGAAATAAATAAACAAATACCGAAAAAGATATTCTATACATGGCTAGAGGGCCACATAGCCATGTTGCAAATTTTCTAGAGAAGAGGATGTTAAGCTAACTAAAATTATGGGGAAGGAGATGTGCAGCTGACTAAAATTATGGGGAAGAGGGTGCTCAGCCCACTAAAATTATGGGGTGAGGGGGTGGAGGGGTGCCTCAAGGTGCATGAGCTACCAAACTATGAAATATTTTGTGGGGTGTGTAGGAGATAAGGAGGACACAAAACCATTTTATTCTCTATCACTCTGTAATTAAACTGTCACAGTACACACTGACTAGAATGGAATATACTTCTTCTTCTGTGCATTCACCGGCTGTAAACTCAGGAGGAAAATTCTGGCTGTTCATCCACTTTTAGACTGCAGTCCTGTTCCAGAACCTGAGTGTTGCGTGTGCATCCGTTTGACAAATCTGACTAATATGTATGCAGACTGTTGGTTCCTTGCCTCTCAGGCAGATGCACTCTGACTTTGAACGAAGCTCCCAATTAGTCGACTCTTACGACATGCGTTTGGGTAGGCAGTGGGTCTATTCTTGTTTTCCCTACAGTAGCACCCGGGAACCCACACAGGGGAATGGCATATGCTGAGTTGTTAATTTTATTATGACTGTTTAGGTATAGAATGCGAGGTTTATGACCTCTAGGAATAAATCTAGCTAGGTATAGAATGCAAGGTTTAGTATAGTATGACCTCTAGAAATAAATCTGGCTAGGCATAGACTGCGAGATTTGGTATAGTATGACCTCTAGGAATAAATCTAGCTAGGTATAGAATGCAAGGTTTAGTATAGTATGACCTCTAGGAATAAATCTCGATAGGTATAGAATGAATGGCTAAGTAGAGATTAAAGGTTAAAGTCGAGAAGATCAACTTTATTGCACTGGGTTTATTCCATGTGACTTGGTCTCTCTCTGCAGAACAGGTAGCCGCCTGCTGAGAACTCAGCGTAGAGCACAAACTCCTTAGCTTAGGCAACGATCCCCGGGGATTTACGTAAACAATTGTACTCTTGGACTGAAATAAAGAATAAATAGATAGGGATAAAATGAATGACTACATAATATAGAAGGAGAGGCAGCTAGGTATAGAATAAATGGCTTCGAACAGAATGAAAGACTAGTTATTGAAAAAATCTATAAGTATAAGCTGATCTGATGGATACAGAATTAATGGCTAAGACAGACTAACTGGCATAATAACAGACAAGACAAGAATATATTAAACTTTTAGACAAATTATGACAACAAAAGTACTGCAAATGTAGGCTGGGCTGCGTAAATTAAAACATCGAGAGCTTTGAGAAAGAAATATGACCTTTCATCTCCACATTGGGCCCGCCAGGGGAGTGACTGAGAAAAGGGTTGCTCTCAGACGTCTTCTCTTTCTCAGGTCCATGTCCAGACCCGCTGCTCACCGAGTCTTGCTGTTGGAGCACAAGGGTTTGCATCTTTCATCACAACATGTAGACATTAGAGAACTGAAGATTTTAGTGTACAATTCATGATAAATAAAGAAAACATTTCCATTAACTGCTAATTAATGTAAGCTCACCCGACCCCCTTTTCCACACACACAGAGGAATGTTTATCATCAAATCGGTTTGCTCCTCGTTCTGAAGATTGTGGGTTCAATTTGTGCACACATTATGGGTTAACGAATGGACTATTTTCGAAAATGCTTGGGGATCATCACATGAGCTATGGGGTTCGTACTTTGTGTGACGTTCCCGGTAGGTGGCCAGCCATTCTGTGAAGAAAAACCGAGCCAAATGGGGAAGAGTCGTTGCAATAAAGTCGATCCTCTCGACTTAAACTTTCGCTATTTTATCAAAATATAAATTCATTTGTACATCACTTATGGACTGCACGCAGTACTGCCTGTGGTTGGACGACAACTCATGTCTGTTATTGCCTGTAATTACAAGATAAGTACTGTCTGTACTTGCAGGATAGCTTCTGTCTATGACTAAGTGAATTTGGTCACATTCACATTTGGCCACTATACATTTCTGTGGTAAAGTCACAGGCCCTTTCACAGTAAGTAAGTAAAGGACCTTCTTCCACTATTTTCAGGCGTATTTGGTGTATAGGGCTAGAACTATATTTGGTGGGTGATGTGGTCAGCATCATGCCGGCCGCCTTTACTTCCCAGGACTGTACCTGATACCTACTCAAGGCTGGGTCGACATGGAAGCCAAAGTCATTTTAAAAACAAAATCTGGCTCTCGTCAGGAACCGAACCCACAGCCTTTCGACCCACAGATGAGAGTCTCCTTTTCACAATGTTGACAATATTGACAGTACAATGCCTTCCCATTTGTCGGTTAATTAGGGTGGCCACGTGTCCCGTTTTCATTGGGACAGTCTCGGCCGCCCTGTCGCCGTCGGTACTCTTAACAGGCAATTGTCCCGTTCTATAAAAATCCAGAAAACGGCTCGTAAACAAAACATACACTTATAGTTAGTTATGTATGTAGACCTTATCAGATGTCAAAGTTGTGAATACTTTTAATGCATGAAGTGTGTTAATGGGAATTTTCATTGTAGTATGATTTTATTTAGTTATAATTATGGTTTATATAATTGTTATGCCTTTATATTCTTATGTACTTAAAATGTATTATCAATGTAAATAATATCAATGATAACAATACATTAGTGTGTGTGTGTGTGTGGGGGGGGGGGTGGGGAACCCGCCCTCAGTCATCCCCCTCAGCCAACTTGCCCTCAGTCATCCCCCCGCTCAGCCATCCCCCGCTCAGCCAAACTCGCCCTCAGCCAAACTCGCCCTCAGCTAACACGCTCTCAGTCATCCCCCGCTCAGCCATCCCCCGCTCAGCCAAACTCGCCCTCAGCTAACACGCTCTCAGTCATCCCCCGCTCAGTCATCCCCCCGCTCAGCCATCCCCCCTCAGTCATCCCCCGCTCAGCCATCCCCCGCTCAGCCAAACTCGCCCTCAGCCAAACTCGCCCTCAGTCAACACGCTCTCAGTCATCCCCCGCACAGCCATCCCCCGCTCAGCCAAACTCGCCCTCAGCCAAACTCGCCCTCAGCCAAACTCGCCCTCAGCCAAACTCGCCCTCAGCCAAACTCGCCCTCAGTCAACACGCTCTCAGTCATCCCCCGCACAGCCATCCCCCCGCTCAGCCAAACTCGCCCTCAGTCAACACGCTCTCAGTCATCCCCCGCACAGCCATCCCCCGCTCAGCCAAACTCGCCCTCAGCCAACATGCTCTCAGTCATCCCCCCTCAGCCAACTCCCCCCCCTTTTCAGCCAACCCGCTCTCAGTCACCCCCCCTCCCCCCTCAGCCGACTCCCCTCCCCTTTCAGCCAACCCGCCCTCAGCCAACACGCTTAGCTAAATCGTAATGCCCTCCCTATTTCTTCACTTCCAAAATTACCGTATCCTTTGTTATATCTGGCCTCCCATTTTTGCTGTTTACCTTGTGTGGTTCAACGGTACCCATTTCACACAGCCACCCACCCATCAGCACACACGCCCACACATATACACACCCACACCAACATTTATTACGTCAACACTGTATTAATATATGTTTCCTGAATGTGTGTCCTATCCAACACCAGTGCCTTTTCTCCACTTACTGATTCACCGATCTTCTCCTTCTTTGCGATCAGTTTCGTATGTTCAGGTGAGACCATCAGTTGGGTTACCTCTATGAACTCGCATGTCAGTAGCAGGTCCTTCATGGTTCCCTATAGCTTGCTCTGCACACTTTGCTCTTAAGGCCAGGTGTCTTTTTATAATTGTAGTAGTAGAGTAGTATTTGTAGAGTAGCAATAGTAAAATATTAGTAGTGGTAGCAGCAGCAGTAGTAGAAGTTTAATGCTTTCATGTTCCCCTCTAGTACAGTAACTTCACTGACATGTATGCAGGTAAGAAATTTAAAATTGTAGAAAATAATGTAAGAAAACTCACACTATTAAAAATATTTGGGGTAGATTTAATAAAACTGTAAAAATGTAATAGATAAAGTTAAAAAAAGGGGAGTAGATGCGGTGAATGTCTAAAATATAATGGAAAAGGTAAACAAAAATATTTGGGATTAATGTGGGAAAACTTTAAAACGTAATGGTTTAAGAAGAATTCAGCTTAAAATCTATAAAAGTGCAAATTTTCAGCTGTTCAGAAATACGAGCACAATGGAATAATTTTGGAACTGCAAAACCTTTGTTAGTTTAAACAAACCAACAAAAGTTCCAGTTAACTTGTTTGCCTTGTCCCTTGATGACGAAAGATTTGTAACCGCAACATATATTCTATCCTTTGTGTGCATATTATTGTAGCGGACTATGTGCACTTTGTTTCGACTTCAACTATTCCTATTTTAAAAGCTAAGCATGCAATGCGTAAAAAAAAATAAAACAAATGTATTCAAATCAATCTGGACATGTTGTTAACGAATATTCTAGATCCAGTGAAGACTACCATTCGACAGAGCTGACATTATATTGCAGTTGAAATAAACTGTTAAAAAATTTCTGCTATTATAAGCCTCCCTTAAGATATATTTGATAACAGTTAAAGATTACATTCTAAAATTGCCGCCATTTTAGTCTCATTAGTAAATGTTTTACTAGAAGTTAAAATCTATATTCTAAAGTTGCTGCCACTATACGCTTCATTAAGCAATATGTTACTATTCGTCACGTTAAAGGCCCTTTGCAAAACGTCGATTTTATCAAGGTCTGCTCTAAAGAAACTCGGTCTCTCGCCAACGCTTCCGCCTCTTGCATTTCACTTATATCCTGTGCCCATCTTCGTGTTGTTTGACCCCTGTATTTTCTCCCTCGTACCATGTCTTCTGTTATTATTCGTTCCAATCTGCTGTGGCGGTAGATACAGACAAAATATTTCAGCTTCGAGACAGGATGCTGTTTACTAGCCAGTCTTCTTTGATGTCCTGACCTTTCAGAATCAATGTTTCTTCTCTTCTTTGTCCATGATATTCTGAGAAACCTTCTATAGCATTTCAGCCTAATAGCCCTAATTTTCTTCTGTAGGGACTGGCAGAAAGTCCAAGACTTACACCCGTATGTTGCTACAGAGAGGGTACATGCTCTCAAAATTGTAACTTTCATTTCCTTGCTGGTGTTTAACCATAGACTTTTAAAATATTGTACCAACAGTTTGAAAATTGCTTCTAAAAGTGGTGCTATTAAGAGTCCCCTTAACAAATTAGCAATAAAAACGTATATTGTAAAATTATGCTGTTATATGTTTGATCAAAAAATATTCTTCATGCAGTTAATAATTACATTATTACATTGCTGTTATTATACATCTGATTAACCTCTTAAGTGTATGTGCTACAAAAAGGGCGATCCGGACTTTGTGTCGTGGTTTTTAACCAGGCTGCGATATCAGCGCCTTTTGGCCTAACACATCCGATTTAAGCAAACCCCTAACTATTCGCCTGTTGCGACATACTTGATATATTCTCCTAAATAGCTCTGGCTGTAAGCCGCACTAACAAACAAGACACAAGTTTGAAGTTAAGTAAATATAGTCGTTTGGATGTTGTTATGTCTTGTTAGAGAATGCAATATAACATTTTCGTCCTCTCTGAAAAAGCAATACTTTTTTGTATACTTATATTCCCAGTGTGGGTTGAAGGGCTCCATTTTGGAACAGAAAGAATAGACTCACTGCCTCCTAACAAGCATGACGTAGGAGGCGAATAAATAAAGATGTTTCCAGGGAAGTCAGAGTGAATCTGCCTAAGTGACAAAAAACCAACAGTTTGAATTCAAAAATATACCAGATCTGTAAAACGGATGTGGACACAAAAGTCAAGTTTTGGATAAAGATGAGAGTCTGGGAATGGACGAACAGCCAGAATCTTTCACTAAAGTTTACAGCTGATGAAAGCTAGAAAAAGAATAGTAGATTATGGCGCAACGTCAAAGGGTAAGATTGCCCTCCCAAGTTGCGTTCAAATTCGCCTTCTGTCAGATTTTGTTTTAAAAGTGACCTTGCCTCCCATGTCGATGTAGTCTAAAATCCTTATCAGGAAATGTCATAGAAAGTGAAGGCAACTGGCCTGATGCTGACCAGGTCACAGTCCAGTACCAGGTAGTCTACTAAAATATGACTTGTACATTACATGCTTGATGCACAGGTAGTATAAGAAGCTTCTTATATTTTAAAATCGAAGTTACAGTCGACAGGATCGACTTCATCACCCTGGCTTATCACTAATGGTCCGGTCTTTCTACGCAGAACTAGCCACTTGCCGATGGCGTCACACAAAACACGAACTCAGTCGTTCAAGTGACGTTTACCAGGAATCTATGTAAAAAATTTCAATTGTGCCCTGACTGACAGACTTTCTACCCCACCAGGACATCACACAAGCGATAAACACCTGATGACACAAGTGCCACCATGCGGGTGAGGATCACCGTGGAGAGGTCCCAGAAACCGAGTTCAGCCTTTAGGCCATATTTATGACCGGGCTATACTGCGGCCCCTGGCAAAAGCCAGAGTTGGGCTTCAAATAACGAAAAATTTCATCTTAAAAAGGACGAGAATTAACTCCTATTGTGCCCTGAACTTTACTGTAAGTTAAATGGCGTTACACTACGTCAATAAAGGAGTATTTCAATTATGAATATTATCTCATCTTCAATTCTTACATCTTTCTCTAGCTTGGACTTGTCCAGTACAACATCCGGGACTTTATATTTCTTAATGTTGAGAAGTGTCTCCATCTTGCTATGATCACCTGCCTGGGAGTCTCGGCTGGTTCTCGAGGTCCGGCTGTGGTTGGACGTAAAGCTGCTCCTTCGGCTGCAAGTCTGCCGGGCTCCTCCTGGACCATCTGGTCCTGGAACTCCAGGTCTTCTTTGGGAAGGGTAGCTGAACCGGTGACCATTGGGCACGTTTCTGACGAAGTTATAGTTGCATAGATCTTCGGACGAGGGTGTGACGGGGGTAGAGTCGTCAGCATAGGGAAGTGGGATGTTTTCTAAATTGTGATGGACCAGAGGCTGGCGATCGGCGAAGTGTCCAATTCTTTTGGCAGTGGGTACTGGTTTTCGCCAGTTGCTTCCCCTGCCGCTCCTGCGATGGTTGTAAGGTGAGCCTTGTAGACTAAGACTGTGCTGCAAACAGAAAAAACGATGGTGCAGAAAAAAAAAGGCAACAAGTAAAGTGACAGAAGATTAGGTTGTGGGAAATTTCAATAGGGTCAAAATTTGCAGATTAATAAACATGCCTGGTAATTGTGATAAGAATTAATGCTAGTTTTAGTGTAAAGATAAAATGAGATGCAAATGATAGATAATGTAGAACTCAATATGTATAGCGAAAAATTTAGCTATTCACTGGACGTAAATTTGCCAAGAAAAACAACAGCGGAAAAAAAAAAAATATTGCTGGGGTTAGTTTTGCGATGTGCTTTAAAGGATACAAAACTAACTTGACATAAAAAAAAATAAAAAAATCCGTTTTTGCAAAAATGAAATATACTGCACGCTTTTTTGAAACAGCAAGATAAGTAGCGAACCCTTTTTATTTGTAAACAGTGTGAGCCACCGTGGTACAGCGACTAGAGGCTTGCCTACAGATCTAGAGGTCGTGGGTTCATATCCTGAAGGAGCAGGCTGTTTTTTTTTTCAAACAGGTTGTACAGATTCTACAAATTGGGGAAGAGGGGGGGGGGGGGGGGGGGGGGTTTGGTAGACTAAAAAAAAAAAAAAAAGACATGCCTGGGGCTCAACTACGTTATCAAATGGTTCCAAACTAAATATATTGCCACCTAATTGTTCACACCACTATCATAGTAACTATTTTTTTCTTCAAATTTATGACACGCAGTGGGATAAAACAAATAACAGAATTTATATACACATTTGTTTCATAAATGGAGAAAAATATGTAAATGAGAAAAGTGTGGTAAATTAAAGCATGCATTACTAATAAAAAAGGCAACTTCAAAAATGTTATATTTATAAACGCACTTGTCCTGCAATTATATGTTAAGCGTGTTGTCTTACTGTCTCACACTAATCATACATTAATTCACATATTATTATGAGATGGGCTTACATAACATGACATAACTCTTGCCCCATAAAGGTCGTAGTGGTGTATTGATGGAAGCACTAGCACATAAAACCCGCCAACTTTCTCTGTCTTCTGCTTGATGAATGAGTGTATGATAACTTAGTCCTGTCCATAGCATGATGGTGTCATTCCAGGTTCTTGTTTGCCCTCGTCTTTTTTGACAAAACTCCCACCAATGCTCTTTGAAGTACAATCGAATCATGTCTCACCACGTGCCCGAAACAAGCTAGCTCGAGACATGGGCTAAAACTAATGCCTAAACCTTTATAGTTCATAGCAACTGCAGTCGCATATATGCCACCCTGAATGCCCAGGAGAAAAAAAAGTTGGCAAATGCAGACATTGAAGACAGTAATTTTAGCAGAATATTGATATGTAGGGTTGCCCATAAATCCTCCTTTTTTTCAGAAATGTCCTCAATTTACCAGTAAATCTGAGCGTACGTAAACAACTGAGACAATTATACGTTTGTCCGCAATTTTAGAAACCAAGACGAAAGAAAACCGATGCGGCCATATTGAAAACGTAGGAATAGTGAAATGTACTCTGAAATTATGAAGATAGCACAACTGTTCTATGTTATTCTAGCGCACGGTGCTTCAGCAGAAACTGACTGACTGACTTTCTAACCCACCAGGACATCTCACAAGCGATAAACACCCGATGACACCAAGTGCCACCATGTGGATGAGGATCACCGTGGAGAGGTCCCAGAAACCGCGTTCAGACAATTGGCCATATCCATGGCTTGCCTATATTACGGCCCCTGGCAAAAGCCAGGGTGGCGCTCCAAACAACAAAAAACCTCGTCCCAAAAAGGACGAAACTGGATGATGATGTTCAGCAGAAAAACAGAAAATCCATGCCCAATGGTCCAATGATAGAAATCAGTGTGGATTCAGTCAAGTGAAATTCAATTACACAATTTATTTTGAACTATTTCACATGCAAGCAATTTTATTGATCAAAGCAATGTTTCCCCCTTGTAAATTTGAATAAAGAAGACACAAACAATAGATTGCACAATGAAAATACCGGTCGTCAAAACCATCCCTCCGCAACAGCACGCCATCTTTTAAAATCTGGACACACGGTATCCAAGAACAGCATCCTTCAAATACTTCACATCTCAGACAATAGCAGAAGATTTGTTGAAACTACTACGATTCGCTACATTCACCCTGAACTGTGTAAACAAAAAGACATGATCATGACACTGCAGTAAAACAGGCGGTTGCGTTTGATTGTTGTTGAATGTGTACTTCAGTTAGAAACGATTCATTTATGTGCTTCATTTATGTAATTGTTACTGTAGTATGCACCTGACGAGATACAGCGAAATACGCCAGGCAATAAATAGTGCAAATTTATTGTTTGTGTCTTCTTTATTCAAATTTTATGGATATTTGATGTCAAGAAATACGGCCTCAAAGAAGATCAGGACATCAGAAATTTTTTTACACTAAACACAGTTAAAATTTTTATTTAATGTTGGCAAAATTGACCTTATTTCGAAAGATCAAAATGTGGCAACCCCCACTAAAAGTCATTTTTGAGAGGTGAATGTTTACAAGAACAATATCAAGTCTTAGTCTCAGTTTAAGTCAAGATTTCAACTTCACGGTGATCGGGTTTCCACATTCTTGAACCCAATCAGGTCAATGGCAAATCTGATATAACAGTGAAAGGAGCCCTTGCACCAAACTGGAGCATCGCGCATATAAGGCTAGACTCATAGTTTGTTTGACCAATCGGTTCTCCCATGGGTGATGTGCTCAACATTACGCTTGTCGCCTTTACCTCCCAGGGCTTTACCTTTACTATTAGGGTTGGGTGTCAGCCAAGGTCATTTTTGAAAAGGCCTAGCTCTGTCAGGACCGGAACCCATCACCTTCGGATCCGCAGACGAACGTCTAGCTGCCACACTACAGCGGCTCCACAGGCACTACAGCGGCTCCACAGACTTACAATGCTATACCAATATTTGTATAGACCAGTCGGCACTCGGGTTATGTGGGACACATCTTGCAGACAGCCTTTATTTACCATGATATGTCCCGATCGCCTAGGAGGCTGGGTAAACGTGAGAATAGTCCAGTTTAGAAACACTAGGCCGAGAATTAGAACCGCAGACCCCCGTGTGGGTTCCGGTGCCCCATTGTGGGGAAAACAAGAATAGACCCACTGCCTCCCCAAAAGCATGTCGTAAGAGTCGACTAATTGGGGAGCTTCCTTTGAAGTCGGAGTGCATCTGCCGGAGAGGCAAGGAACCAACAGTCTGTATTCAAGAGAATGATATCTGTAAAACTGATGCACACGCAACACTCAGGTTCTGGAGCAGGACTGCAGTTCAGTAGTGGACGAGCAACCAGAACTTTCCGCCAGAGTGTACAGCTGGTGAACGAGAAGAAGAAGAAGAAGAACCGCAGATTCTACAATTAGAAGCTTCCTGGCATTGTAGATGGTGCCCTTGCCTGGCAAGACAGATGTTTGAGTTTAACTTCTATAAGATCCGGGATTATTTGTTCCTTTCATTTTGGTTCTGATATGACAATGATGACTTTACTAGATAACTGTGCGCTTGCATGGCAAGACAGACATCTGGGTGTAATTCCTATCAGATCCGGGATTAATTGTTCATTTCAGCATGGCTCTGATACAATTAGGATTGTGTTACTAGATAGGTGTCATAACTTTAAATTAAAAGCAAAGAGGAAGGTAAAGGAGCACCCTATCTCGCACATTCGAGGCCTAGAATTTGCGAAGACCCAAAATTTCACACTCCAACCACATCTTTAGGGTTCCTTCATACCGATTTTACCGATTTTGGTGAGATGGTATGTTTTAAGTACTTCGGTACCCCGATAACAGCTGATGAAAGATGGAAAGTTAAATGTAGAATAGTTCAAGTAACGGCAGCATTTGACAAAATGAAGAATATTTTATGCTTTCTTTGTGTACCAATGGAGACGGAATAAGAGAATTCTTAAGAGCTATATAAACGCTATCCTGATATGGAAGTGAATTGTGGACTATTGGAAGAGTGGTTGAAAAATTACTTGGATGCGTCGGAGATGTGGTTTTATATGTGACTGATGAGAATACCCTGGACAGATAAAAAGAGTAATGAAGATGTCGTGAAAGAAACTGACGCATGAAGAGAACCGATTGTCTACATCAGGGGGAGACAATCTACATTTTTTTTTTTTTTAAATGTCAAGAAAAGGTACATAGTCATATAACATCGTCACTGTTGAATAGCTGGAGGGAAAACAAAGCAGAGGCATCCCAAGAGAGAAAATGCTTGACAGTGTAACATCATGGCATGGAAGATCCTTTGTGCAAGTACTGACTAAATATACACAAAACAGAAGGTTGTAAAAAGACATAACTACCAAAGCCACAAGGTATGGACTATGGAAGATCATCTGATCATTTTCTGTGGATATGATGCAGAATACAACAGACAGGGTAAGAACACTTTATTTCTTTATTAATTATATTTTAAGTGACTTTGAAAGTTTAAAAGTCATTTTTCTAACAATTCTGTTTTTCTGTTTGTTGTGTGTGGGATCTCCTAAAATCTCAGCTAATATAAAGACTGGAGACGTGAAATTTGGTGTGGATACTCCTAACACAATATTAAAGGTACATGGCTATTTAAAAGTATTTTGTTTTTAAATTTGATTATTATCTCAGAAAGCTACATTTTTGTATTTTTTTCAACATACCTAAATTTTAATATTCTAAAAAAAATATTAAAAAAACATTTTTGAAGTAAATAAACTAGCCAAGTTTCCTAAACGTAGGTTTAAAGTTCATGAATCAATCATCTGTTTCTCAATACCTTTGTTTGTTTTTCAAAATTTCAGTTGACTAAGTACATGTCGTTTTTTCATCAAGATGGCGGCTGTTGCCATGGCAACCATGTTTTTTTAAACTTGAAGTGTACAAATGTATCAACATACATCCCTACAAATGACCATTATAAAATAATTGGTCTAACATTGTAAATAAAAAAAAAAAATTTTTTTCATGTAGTGACCCCTTAAAACTGACTGAAAATACACGAGGCAGACGGTTGTAAATAGACATAACTGCAAATGCCACAAGGTATAGACTATGGAAGATCATCTGTGTTAGAACTGATCGAAAATACATGAGATATAAGGTTGTAAATACACATGACTATCAACGCCACACGGCATAGACTATATAAGATAGCACTCTATTCGCTAATTCACACTGTGCTTTGAAATCAACACTAAACAAGACTCTACCCATTTAAAACGTCCATTCTTTATTACTTTAGCCACATGTGGTTTCATCGATCCAAAAACGGCTTTTAATCTTTCCACGGCAAATGAACGTCGACTTGGCAAAATCCATCAAAAATGTGCATCAAGGTGACATTTTGATAGGAGCCTAATCAAGAAATTACTGCCCGCCTCGGATCTCTACCCGCCTCGGATCTCTACCCGCCTCGGATCTCTACCCGCCTCGGATCTCTACCCGCCTCTTTCGCGGACATTATTCTTTCAGAATGTGCTCAAAGCCCTGCATTCCCGGGGCTGCTGTTGCTGCACAAATAGTGGTCCTTTGTTAACAAGATTAATACATTTTAAAGTATGGATTGGGACCCAGTGAGTGGGACAAATCACAGAGGGAAGAAAGAGGTAGCAGGCGATACAATAAATCATCGTCAAGAATAGACATAAGTCACCGGAAAACCTTTGAGGTCATTAAAAAAAACAAGGATATAACAGGCCACGAACATCTCTAGTAACGAACAAATCGGTCCACGAACAAATTTTAACTCGACCCGCAAACAATACATAGGCGAACGATGCACAAACATGGCTTTGGTGCCATGTTTTCGGCTATCCAACAGCATCAGTTGTAGACAGATTCTCGCACTGTGAACTTTTTCGTTGCCTTGTTCGTGAGAGTTTTTGTTGTTGTTGTTTCTTTTGTTGTTGTTGCTTTTCACCTCATGATGGCTCCCAAGAAAGTGACCAGTGTTGTTGACAGTGGTGAAAAGAAGCCAAAGCGTATTACAGCAGAAAAGGAGAAGGAAACAATAACTAAACATAAAAATAACAGCAGTACAACAAGTTCAAATCTATTATAATCTGTACTAAGAAAAGGCTTGACATTATGGCATGGAAGATCCTATGTGCCAGTACTGACTGAAAATTCACAAGACAGACGGTTGTAAATAGACATGATTACCAATGCCATGAGGTTTGGGCTATGGAAGATCCTATGTGCCAGTACTGACTGAAAATACACGAGACAGACGGTTGTAAATAGACATGATTACCAATGCCATGAGGTTTGGACTATGGAAGATCCTATGTGTCAGTACTGACTGAAAGTACACGAGACAGACGGTTGTAAATAGACATGATTACCAATGCCATGAGGTTTGGACTATGGAAGATCCTATGTGTCAGTACTGACTGAAAGTACACGAGACAGACGGTTGTAAATAGACATGATTACCAATGCCATGAAGTTTGGGCTATGGAAGATCCTATGTGTCAGTACTGACTGAAAATACACAAGACAAAATGTTGTAAACAAAAAGTAAAAAAAAAAAAGTAAAGTCGGGAGATGTGAACCAGCGTCATTGCACACGGTTATAAACCATAAGTGTTCTGCCACCAGTACGGACAGCTGATAAGAAACTGTCCGCATGTGTCGCCGTCCGCACGTAACTCTGTAGCTACAGCGACGTTCCTCCATTTATCCCAGAGTGTTACTTCTGGTACCCATTACCTAGAGACTGTGTGAACCCCGGGAACCGCCCAGTTCCGAACACTAGCCGAGGGCAGCAGCGAGTCGCAGCTGGATTTGAAAGCGAGGCTCCTATCGAATGCGTTATCGCGGACCCCTATAAATAGGACTACCAATGACATAAAGTTTTGGACCATGGAAGGTCATCTGTATCAGTAATGACTGAAAGTACATGTGACAGACGGCTGTAAATAGATATGACAATGCACTATGTGCGATCACATATTTCCGATGAGTACTAAGCCACCAACGATTTAACTAGCATAGTTTTGCTTAATATTACTATAAAAATCTGGCTAGTTACTGTAATTTTCCTTAGTATTTGTGTTTACTGCACCTGTGACAATTATACTCTTAAACTCGTTTAATGTTCATTGAGTCTACCGCTACCTTGGAATTGTCAAGCTAAATGTACTGATGCTTGAAGATTTACAGAGCAACGATTTGCTAGTGACGGCTAGGTTGCTAGCTCAGGGACTAAACAAAGGTCCCAAGTGTTAGCAATGATCTGCTAGTGACGGCTGGGTTGCTAGCTCAGGGACTAAACAAAGATCCCAAGTGTTAGCAATGATCTGCTAGTGACGGTTAGGTTGCTAGATCAGGGACTAAACAAAGATCCCAAGTGTTAGCAATGATCTGCTAGTGACGGTTAGGGTGCTAGCTCAGGGACTAAACAAAGATCCCAAGTGTTAGCAATGATCTGCTAGTGACGGCTGGGCTGCTAGCTCAGGGACTAAACAAAGGTCCCAAGTGTTAGCAATGATCTGCTAGTGACGGCTGGGTTGCTAGCTCAGGGACTAAACAAAGGTCACAAGTGTTAGAAGAAGTAGACACATTTTTGTTAGGTTCAAATTTTTAAAAAGCAGCTTGAAGGAGACAGTAGTCTTCCCCTTGTCCTTCTTTAGGCGAAAGCAACTATCAAAACAAGCACAAAGCTAACGTCAAACTGTACACCTTTTTATTATATATTTGTGTCACACATTAATCGATAAGACACCCTATCACCCCCCCCCCCTCCTCCCATTTAAATGGATACAATATATTACTGGGGCGGTTGAATTGATTATTTGAATTAGCATAAATTTCACTACGAAAAATTGTTTCGGTTCGCAAAACATTTCAGGTTGCGAACTGAGTAAAAAAAAAAAAAAAAAAAAACCAAGTTCGTGACCCAATGCACAACTATAGTGCTATAAACACAGGCCAATATTGCGCTTAATTTGAAAGAAGGTATTAACAAAAGTCTAGTTCACTCTTCACAGAACGGTTAGACGCCTAAAGGTTTGAACACTTCGCTAAAAACATTGCAGAAACGTCTAGAATGAAAGTTTTTAACAGGATGCAAAGGTGGAAAGCTGGACGTCTGTTAACATACAGTGATAACTCGAAATTCGAACAAAAACAGTTCTTAGACGGCGTTCGAATTCCAAATCGTTCAAGTTGAAGGCAATTATAACCACTAACCACTGAAATTAGTAGTAGTAGTACATTTTACCCCACTAAGACATCACACAAGCGATAAGCACCCGATGCCACCACGTGGATGAAAATCACCCGCAGAGAGGTCCCCAAAACCGCGTTCAGCCGTTAGACCATATTTATGGCCGGACTATATTGCGGCCCCTGGCAAGAGACAGGGTGGGGCTTCAAAATAAGGAAAAATTCCATCCCACAAGGGTATGATTAGATGTATGAGTATAACCACTGGAAATGAACAAAACTAAATTAATTTGTTCCAGGGTTTAACAAACTCAAGTTTTAAAATTTATTGTTCTAAATGGGGAAAACTGTAAATATAATAACATATGATGATTATATTCGAATACCCACATACATAAATACATTAAAATACTAATTTTAAACATAGTACAGTATTTACATTATCTTGATATAAAATTTGACAGAGCACGTAAAAGTAGGAAGAAGAAGAGGAAGTTAAGGAAATTATTGTTTGGAAGTTGAGTCCCCTTCCAAGGCAACACCAAGCACCCTGTCTGGTGTTTCATTTCATAGTCGTTCACCACTTGTAGAGGGTCTGGTGTCACTAGTTTTAGCTGATAGCCAACGCTCCAAAGTGCTCTGATATTCGGTGACCATTTTTGTTTCTAAAATGTTCGATAATGTTAACACTGAATAAGTGAACACACCTGCTAACTAGGGTTTTATCGGAAGCAACCTGTCAGCAACGTCTGGTATTCTCGACTACAGGTTCAACACCTTAGATTTCAGTTGTGCTAATCCATTCAGCTTCCTCACTTCTTCCTCCCGGAAGAAATTTCTTCTGCAGTTTCTTCCTTCTGCTGCTAACGAAGATGTTGAAGCTCTTGCACCGCCAGGTCGGTCGCCTGATTGGTTGCCAAGGCTACGTTTGAGTTCAATGGGCTAAATTTACTCGACTTTTCGGATTTCAAGGTGTTCCAGTTTTGAGGCGTTCAAATTCCGAGGACTCACTGTAAGTGGTTAAACTAGATATTAGGATACAGTTTCACAGTAAGTGATCCAATGTTCAGATTTCAATGAAAAAGTAATAGCAAACAACTTTAGGACAGCATACGTCTCCAAAAAAATTAAAGATGAAAGAAGAGATTATAATATTGTGTCTTTTAGTATCAAACGAGTTCCAAGTGTTGCAATAATAATAACACGAAGCAGAGTTTCAAATTAACGTATATCTGCACCGAATATTTCATTGTTGTAACACACGGTTATCACTTTGAATTATACAATATCCTGACATAAATGGTTAAAGTTACAACTAAAAGTAAACTGAACTAAATATTCTTATAAATAAAGAGTTAACGATATCAGAATGATATTGTTTTTTTTTTTTTTTACAGATGTTCACTGTACTTGATTACTACTTGCTTTTGTCCAAGACAATTGGACCTTCGATGTCCGGTGTATTTGTCCACTTACCTGCCTGTGTCCAAGTCCCCGATACCCATTACATGAGTGCACTTACCCTCTTCTGTCCGCCACCAGGCCTCAAATGCCCACTGGTCACTGAATGCTCACTGGTCACCGAGAGGCGTTCCTTATCCTCTGGCATATCCACAATGGCCTTGCCACCCACACCTCCATCCAGCTCGTTATTCCAAGAAGAATTACTTTGGCTTTTGGTCATGATGGATATGGCTTCTTTTCTGGCTTCCTCCTCCTGCAGAAGAAGGAGAAAAAGAGAAAAAAAAAGGTGAAAGAATGATTCCTCCTTATGGCTGGTGTTTGGGGAGGGGGGGGGGATGAAGTGTCATCTCCTGGGTAGCTTATGGTCCCATTCATTCTAGTCATTTTGTGTTTGAATTTACCGCTAAAAAAAAAAAAGAAACTGTTTTAGTACCATCCATCCATCCACCCGTCAACCCACCTACCATTTATTAATTAATTCAGCCACCCGTCCATCTAGACATACCCATATTCATACAAACATCCATTTATTATCCCTCGAAGCAACCCGCTTTATTTATTTTTTCATCAACTCATTCACTTACTCATTTAAAGACACTCACCAATCCACCCTTTTATGCATCCACCCTTTTATCGATCCATGTACCTACCCATCCAATCACTTATCCCTTCATTCACCCATCTTTCCATCCACCCATCCATCCACCCGTTTGTCCGTCCATCCATCCGTCCGTGTATCCACTCATCCATCCATCCACCCGTCTGTCCGTCCATCCATCCGTCCGTGTATCCACTCATCCATCCATCCACCCGTCTGTCCGTCCATCCATCCGTCCGTGTATCCACTCATCCATCTATCCACCCGTCTGTCCGTCCATCCATCCGTCCGTGTATCCACTCATCCATCCATCCACCCGTCTGTCCGTCCATCCATCCGTCCGTGTATCCACTCATCCATCCATCCAACCGTCTGTCCGTCCAACCATCCGTCCGTGTATCCACTCATCCATCCATCCACCCGCACATCCATCAATAGAAACACAGCTTCCGCAGAGGCGCCACTGCAGCACTGAGAAAGAGTGTGGGTGTCGGGGGGGGGGGGTGTCTCTGCATCAGCTTTCCTCCATAGACGTGAGTTCGTTTCAGGACTCAGATATCTTGGAGGTAAGACAGACAGACAGAATGACAGTAGGGCAGACAGACAGACAGACATAATGACAGACAGACAGACAGACAGAATGACAGACAGACAGACAGACAGACAGACAGACAGACAGACAGACAGACAGACAGACAGACAGACAGACAGAATGACAGACAGACAGACAGAATGACAGACAGACAGACAGACAGAATGACAGACAGACAGACAGAATGACAGACAGACAGACAGACAGACAGACAGACAGACAGACAGACAGACAGACAGACAGACAGACAGACAGACAGACAGACAGACAGACAGACAGACAGACAGACAATAGAAAGATTGGCAGATGGGTAGGAGGTAAGACAGACAGAACAACAGTAGGATAGATAGACAGACACGCATACAGATAGACATATATACGGATAAAAAGACAGACAGACATATAGAAAGGCAGACAGACAGATAGACAGACAGATGAGCGTACATGCACACAGACACCTAGACACACACACACACATGTATATATATATATATACACACACACACACACATATATATACACACACACACACACACACACACACACACACACACACATATATATATATATGTGTGTGTGTGTGTGTGTGTGCAAGTAGGCGAATAGACCGTTAGATATGTACTAATAATTGCTTAATACGTCCAGCCACCCGTCCATCTAGACATACCCATATTCATACAAACATCCATTTATCAATCCCTCGAAGCAACCCGCTTTATTTATTTTTTCATCAACTCATTCACTTACTCATTTAAAGACACTTACCAATCCACCCTTTTATGCATCCACCCTTTTATCGATCCATGTACCTACCCATCCAATCACTTATCCCTTCATTCACCCATCTTTCCATCCACCCATCCATCCACCCGTCTGTCCGTCCATCCATCCGTCAGTGTATCCACTCATCCATCCATCCACCCGTCTGTCCGTCCATCCGTCCGTCCGTGTATCCACTCATCCATCCATCCACTTGTCTGTCCGTCCATCCGTCCGTCCGTGTATCCACTCATCCATCCATCCACCCGTCTGTCCGTCCATCCATCCGTCCGTGTATCCACTCATCCATCCATCCACCCGTCTGTCCATCCATCCATCCGTCCGTGTATCCACTCATCCATCCATCCATCCGTCTGTCCAAATCCATCCATCCGTCCGTGTATCCACTTCATCCATCTATCCACCCGTCTGTCCGTCCATCCATCCGTCCGTGTATCCACGTCATCCATCCATCCACCCGTCTGTCCGTCCATCCATCCGTCTGTGTATCCACTCATCCATCCATCCACCCGTCTGTCCGTCCATCCATCCGTCCGTGTATCCACTCATCCATCCATCCACCCCGTCTGTCCATCCATCCATCCGTGTATCTCCACTCATCCATCTGTGTCCATACCATCAGTCTGTCCGTCCCATCCATCCATCCGTCCGTGTATCCACTCATCCATCTATCCACCCGTCTGTCCGTACCCATCCATCCGTCCGTGTATCCACTCATCCATCCATCCACCCGTCTGTCCGTCCATCCCATCCGTCTGTGTATCCACTCATCCATCCATCCAACCGTCTGTCCGTCCAACCATCCGTCCGTGTATCCACTCATCCATCCTCCACCCGCACATCCATCAATAGAAACACAGCTTTCCGCAGAGGCGCCACTGAAAGCACTGAGAAAGAGTGTGGGTGTCGGGGGGGGGGGGTGTGTTCTCTCTGCATCAGCTTTCCTCCATAGACGTGAGTTTTTCGTTCAGGACTCAGATATCTTGGAGGTAAGACAGACAGACAGAATGACAGTAGGGCAGACAGACAGACAGACATAATGACAGACAGACAGAATGACAGACAGACAGAACAGACAAAGACAGACAGACAGACAGACAGACAGACAGCAACAACAGACAGACAGACAGACAGACAGACAGACAGACAGACAGACAGACAGACAGACAGACAGACAGACAGACAGACAGACAGACAGACAGACAGACAGACAGACAGACAGACAGACAGACAATAGAAAGATTGGCAGATGGGTAGGAGGTAAGACAGACAGAACAACAGTAGGATAGATAGACAGACACGCATACAGACATATATACGGATAAAAAGACAGACAGACATACTAGAAAGGCAGACAAGAACAGATAGGACAGACAGATGAGCGTACATGCACACAGATACCTAGACACACACACACATGTATATATATATATATATATATATATATATATATATATATATATATATATATATATATATATATATATATATATATATATATATGTGTGTGTGTGTGTGTGTGTGCAAGTAGGCGAATAGACCGTTAGATATGTACTAATAATTGCTTAATACGCACACACCTAAAACATAAATATCAGGTTAAACATAAAAGGTAATAGTTATATCACTGAGCTGCTTACCTGCCGCTCTGCAGCTTCTTCTTCGGCGTCAGCAAGGTCCTGCTTTTGTTGTTCGTCGTAGGACATAGCCACGATGGCCAGAATCAAGTTGACGAGGTAGAAAGATCCAAGCAATATCACAATCACAAAGTAAAGGAAGTGCGGCGATCCCTCAGCTCGTATCACCTGAGCGACGACAATGTTTGTGTTCTTTAAATGCATGTTTTAACAAACCTGAATTGTCAGAATTACATATCATAATATTGAGTGCGCCTTGCGTTGGTTTCGACGGTGGTATCAAGAAAGCCGACCAATGGCAAACTACTGGACGTAAATGCCTAGAAAAACCACACAACAGCCAGGGGCTGTTGGGGTTGGTTTTGCAACGTCCTGTAAAGGATAAGCAACTAACCTAATATTGAGAGTAAGAAAAAACTAAATGGGGCCTTTCTTTGATGTCGGAGTGCATCTGCCTGAGAGGCAAGGAACCAACAATCTGCATACAAATAAGTCAGATCTGTGCACTGATGTGCACGCAAAACTCAGGTTCGGAATAAGACCAAAGTCCAGAGTTAGACAAACAACCAGAACTTTCCACCAGAGTTTACAGTAGGTGAACGCGGCGAAGAAACATACATCATAACACGAGCTATGTAAGAACAACTTGGCGCTATAGTCATAACACTAATTTTTTTTATAATAAATGAATGAATGAATGAATTGACACCACATCACTCCGGGAATGTCAACACATGCTCCGCTCCTTCTTCAGTCGCCAACGAAGCGTCGACATGCTAACAGTAGGAGCTGCAATCTGATTAAAAATCTGCTTATATTTCCACCCTCAGTGTTAAAAGTCTGCCGGAATCTCTACTCACTCTCGCTTGCTGGATTAGTCTGTCAGTGCATGTTTTCTTAGAAGTCAGAGTGTATCTGCCTGAGAAGCTAGGAATCTGCAGTCTGCATAGAAATTATTAGCATATTTGTGAGTGGTACTTGTGTCTTCAGGCGGTTAACCTCGCGAATTAGTCGTCAGATGTTGCAAGAATGTTCCCATGTTTTTTGGAATTGCGTGACAAGACTGGTTTTCTAGAATTTGTCAGCCGTAGTGCTTTGACGACTTTGGGCGTGTATGACAAGTTTATGTTTACCTTGAAGAGGGTTCTACGGTTGTTCCATGCGATGTACAACACTTCAGGGAGGAGTAGTGTCAGAAGCTCAACACCATCGCACAAACTGCCTGAGCTCACAGCCAGGGCTTGTTAGTGTGGTATTGGTATAATTACAGAGCGAGTGATCCATTCATTCAATGAGAGCTACTGAGAGACCACTCGTGCATCTTGAATCCCCAAGTCATCTTTGTCATGTATTCGTCCATAATAGGCGACTAACACTAGAAGAGTTTACTTAGAGTGATTTGTTAGTTTTGTTAGGCAATCGTTAGTGCTCGTAGCAGACGTAATAATGCTACAGCCAGAAAGAAATGGTCCTCAAGAAATCAGAAATCCTCGACCATGTTTGTTAGTGGAATGTTATGGGGTTATGTTATACTCCCAACTATTTCACAGCAACGATGTCTAAAAGAAACTCTAAAACAAACGTTGGTGAAGTTTGAAGTTTGAACAACGGATCAACATCATGGTACACGGGTAATAACCCATAAGTGCTCGGTTCTTAAACTCGTCTGAGTCCGATGAAGCTAAGCATAGGACATAGGCTCTGTAGCACCGGCGAGGATCTTCAAATACTTTTTTGGGTAGATTTTTAACTCCAAATTTTGCCGGCCAGTGCCGTTAGGCTACTCTTTTTTATTTACAACTGCCAAGGAAATTTTTACGTGCGCAACAATATACACGGGTGTCCGATCTCACTACCCAGAGACTAGGTGAAATCACCAGAAGTCCAAGTCCACTTGAAAAAAATCCCAGCCCTTACCGGTGTTTGAACTCGGAACCTCTAGCGCTCGAGGCGGACACAATGCCTCAAGACTACGCAGCCCCCCCCCCTTTTTCAAACGTTGGTTAGAGAGGCCAAATGAGCCGGACAGGATTCCATCCTCGATAGCAAATATATTACACTGGATAGAAACAATTTGAGGAATATATGGCGAGCTCTGCCTGACGTAAATGAGCACACCATGAAAGTGGTGACGATTGAAGCCTTGTCTGTACAAAACTTAAGAACTTCATTTACTCACCAAATGGTAAAGGCTTTCCCAGAAGTCCTGAGTCATGAGTCTAAATGCACACAACATGGCCATACCAAAGTTATCGAAGCTCGTGTAGCCAAAGTTGGGGTTCTTCCCGTAGCCTTTCAGACACTCGTAGATGAGGGTTCCGTTTTTCAGTCCGTTGTCAGTTTCATTGCCACAACGTCTGTTCAATAATGGAAACCACCAAGACAACATTACCACTATTATAATAATAAATACAATATTAAATTATTAATTTGCCCCCTTTCCTCCTCCTAATTCTTCTTCTTCTTCTTCTTCTTCTTCTTCTTCTTCTTCTTCTTCTTCTTCTTCTTCTTCTTCTTCTTCTTCTTCTTCTTCTTCTCCTTCTTTTTCTTTTTCTTTTTCTTCTTCTTCTTCTTCTTCTTCTTCTTCTTCTTCTTCTTCTTCTTCTTCTTCTTCTTCTTCTTCTTCTTCTTCTTCTTCTTCTTCTTCTTCTTCTTTTTTTTCTTTTTCTTTTTCTTTTTCTTTTTCTTCTTCTTCTTCTTCTTCTTCTTCTTCTTCTTCTTCTTCTTCTTCTTCTTCTTCTTCTTCTTCTTCTTCTTCTTCTTCTTCTTCTTCTTCTTCTTCTTCTTCTTCTTCTTCTTCTTCTTCTTCTTCTTCTTCTTCTTCTTCTTCTTCTTCTTTTTCTTCTTCTTCTTCTTCTTAATATAATTATGTTTATAATGATCTTATACTGCTATGATAGTTTAGGACATATTCACGTTTCCCGGCCCACCTACACACTTTCTCAGTCTGATCGAGGTCAGAGGGGTGTCTCGTTGTACTGCTTTTTTTTTTAAAAAGAGTCTCTCAGTCGGTGAGTAGGGGGTTTGGGTTAGGGCCAGTTCTAGATGTTCTGGGGTCGTTGAAAGCTGTGTCGTTGTGTAGTACAGAAAATGCGACATTTGCGCTGATGTAACTGGAGACCAGACAACGTGATCCTCCTCTGACGTAGAACAGTCTGAGAAAGTATGAATGAAAGATCAGGAAGTGTGTAGATGGGCCGGGAAATGAAAACTGGACCATTTGGCGCTTCACGAATGCTGGACTGAACAAAGAGTACACAATCGACCCTTTGATCCCTGGCACACGCAATACACACACACATACACATTTACAAAAAAGAGACAGAAATATGTATACACACACAAACACACATACAGACGCATCACTTACCCCGCACCAATACCCGTACCGCAGACATCAATTTCACCAAAGTTGTCCAACTTCCAGTTTTCTGGTAAGGATTAAAATAAGCGTGACTGATAACCTGGCACGAACGTGTTGATGATCATTTTAGAATTTTACCTACTGATTTAATAATATCTACTGATTTAATAATATCTACTGATGTAATATTATCTAAAAGTTTAAAGATATCTACTTATTTAATAATACCTAACGATTTAATAGTATCTACTGATTAAACAAAATCTACAAATTTAATAATACCTACCAATTTAATAATATCCACAGATTTAATAATACCTACCAATTTAATAATACCTACCAATGAAATAATATCTACTGATTCAATAATAACTACCAATTTAATAATATCTACTGATTCAATAATGCCTACCAATTTAATAATATCTACTGATTCAATAATAACTACTGATTTAATAATACCTAATAATTTAATAATATCTACCAATGTAATAATATCTACTGATTTGATAGGCAGCCGCCGTGGTATCCCGGCTAGATGCTGTGGTATCGCGGCTAGACGCTGTGGTATCGCGGCTAGTGGATGGGAAGGTCATACATTCGGGTCCTGACGGAGCCAGACTGTTTTTCCTTTTTAAAAACGACCTTGGCTTCTAGGTCGACCCAACCTTGAGTGGGTCCTAGGTCGACCCAGCCTTGAGTGTCCCAGGTCGACTCAGCCTTGAGTGGGTACAAGGTCGACCCAGCCTTGAGTGGGTACAAGGCCGACCCAGCCTTGAGTGGGTACAAGGTCGACCCAGCCTTGAGTGGGTACAAGGTCGACCCAGCCTTGAGTGGGTACAAGGTCGACCCAGCCTTGAGTGGGTACAAGGAACAGTTGTGGTAAGTAAAGCCGGCCAGCATGACAGAGTGCAGATTGGTAAATAAAATATGTGTCCAGCCCTACATGCCCAATATGCATAAAGGCGTGGAAAAGGGTCCTTTTTTTTTACTTTCATTGATGAAATAATAGAACGGAGGCCTGGCGATTTCGATCACAGGCGTCAGGGAAAGTTAATTCTGTTGTGTGGTGTACAAAGAGAATATCTTGTACCCAGTGCTGGATTGATGCATACGCTAACTAAGCTGCAACTTAGGGCCTCACGATCTGCAATGGCCTCATAAAATTCCTACTTATTGTTTTCAATTGCAATTTTTCTTTAACAGAGCCTTTGAGATGATTATATAATATCATTTTTGTGATTTTGAACACATTATTTGTGATCTCTTTTAATAAGAATCAAACGACAATATATTTCAAGCATGCACTTATGTAAAAAGGCGCATTTATTTGAAAGTTTTCTAAGATTAACTGGTGTAATTAAAAACTCTAGACATTATGATAACCAAGAAAAGATGGAAATGGCTCGGCCACGTATGAGAATGAATCCTGATATACCTGCTACAAGAGCTCTCACATGGACACCAGAGGGAAGGAGAAAGAAGGGGTGCCCAAAAACAACATGGAGACAAATGATAGAGAGCGATCTTTATGCGGCATCTCTGACATGGAAAACTGCACTGAAGATTGCACAGGACAGGAAAGCATGGAAAGTCCTCTCTGAAGCCTTATGTGCCACTAGGCATAACGAGAATTTATGATTGATAAATAAAAAATAGTAGGGGCCTCAGACTTTATAAAGCTTCAAGGCTCATTCCGGCCCTTCCTGTATTTCATATCGGGAGTCCGCATCCTCTATGCTGGTCTTATGGGCTCTCATATAGGACTCCTTACACAGCCCTCACTGTGTGCTTTGAATGCCTATATCAACCTAAAGAGAGATGGCAGAGGATATAGCTAGTGGCCCCAAGAGTGTCTGTGTCTAGACAGTTACTGGAACTCATCATGACACCCTGAATGCATGGGTGACAACATTCATCATCATAGGACTCGCTGACTGATGTGGGCGATCATGACTCTCCACAATCTGTGATCTCGAACAGCGCTTATAAATTTGTATGTTGACAACCTTCAATACCATGACAAACAGCTGCCAAGAAATGGTTTCGCATTGGATTCTCGTCCCTGTCTCTCTCTCTCTCTCTCTCTCTCTCTCTCTCTCTCTCTCTCTCTCTCTCTCTCTCTCTCTCTCTCTCTCTCTCTCTATATATATATATATATATATATATATATATATATATATATATATCTGGGTAATAGATCTTTCAAGAGGTCACAAAATGTTCCAGTTTCTTTGTCCTCATAACATGACCCCCCCCCCCCACTGCTCCCCACCCCAAAATGGGTCGCTCTTTTTCTATCCAAAGAATTCTAACTCTACAGTTAACTAATTATTCAGCAAGCGAGGTTCATGGCCCGAGCCTTATGCTAAATGATTAATGTTTAGAGTCGTTCGATTGAAAGTCCTACTATATGATGGCAAGACAGGCTTACGATTTGCTACAATGATAATAGAGATAGGATGGACAATTCCTTTTAAGACAGAGTGCATCAGCCTGATAGAAAAGGAAACTGTAGACTGCACATATCTGTAAAACGGATGCACACACAAAACTCAGATTCTGTAACAAAGCTAACGACTTGAAATGGGCAAACAACCAGGACTTTCCATAAGAGTTTACTGTCAGTGAACAACCAACATCACAGACAACCGGAGGGTACCGCTTACGATTCTGCCCGCCTAAGCCCACGTATCGCCGGGGGCGCGAGATTTCCCGTTGGCTCCGTTCATGTGCCGTGTGACCTTTCCCATGGGCTACTGTACGTTCTAGGGTTTCTAGTAGCCCCAAGGCCTAGTCTATTTATTAGAGAAGGTGTTGTAGCAGCTCGTGGAAAAGGCCGCCGTGCAAGAACGGAGCCAACGGGAAATCTCGCTCGCCGGTTCATGCGGACAGTTTCTTGAGTAGTACTAACCGAAGTGGCAGTAATTGTATCTGCCGTGCTAAAATATCTAAGTAGCAATAGTAAGACTGTAATACAGGGCTATCCATCCTCCCCTTAACTACGTCAAGCGTGACCACGGAGATAACAGCTGCTTCCAGAGCACTCGCATAGAGAGGGAGGGAGGGGGGAAAATGCTGAATCTCGGATACCAATACGGTTGGTAAAGCGCGTCTATGCCGTCTTCGAGGTAGAGGCAGCCTTTAATGGGAAAATTCAGTAGAGGTACCTTACAGTGGCTGCCGTATCGAAGTACTGATCACGCATGGGGATGCCCAATGTGCAAAGACGTCGATTGTGATAACATAACAACATCCTGCCACCGCTGACGCATAGATTTTATCACTGGGATTATGATGCCAGAGCGGCCGGCGTGATATTGACCATATCACCCATCAAGGGCTATAAAAATGTGAGGTTAGTATCACACGCACTCTCCTGAAAATGGATCCTGACTTTACTTGAAGGTGCTAGAAACCCTGATTTTATAGACTGACCGGGATCTGACAGAGCCTGGGCTCCCCAAAACTTTTGAAAAGACCCCTACCCCAACTTTAGGAAATCATCAGGCTCTAAAGGGAATGGTGCAGCCAGGAGTGACCAAGAGATCTGGCCAACGCTCAGTACTCGGTAGAGGGGCGAGACGGACATACAATCAAACTGTTACTGGTATCTTTAGAAATTGAATCTATGTGTTTGCTGCTGAAGATGGGGAAACAGGGTTCACACACGAGTGTCCTGAGTGCAATGATGTGGGTTCTCAACCCACCAAACATAACCATAGAAAATGTACAAGAAGAGTGCGAAGTGGCTCTCCCTAACAAAGAATATACGATTAAAAATATCATACATGTCAGATAGTATATTATAGATTCATGTGCCATTCCGCGCAAATTACCATTGTTTGGCTCCTAAACAAGACTTCACCCACTTGAACTCTTCATCCCTAGTAAACTAAAAGGCAGCCGAGGCACCTAATGTCTTGGTGAAACCTTTTGCCAAGCATGATCCCCAGTGTCCTACTAAAGCTAACTCTAAAATCATTTGTAAACTCACCCTCCATGGACCGAAATGATTCTATCTCCTCGACTGTGGCGTTTTCCCCAATGAACAGCTTGTAGTTTTTGATGCATTTGTTCTTCAAGGCGCCGGAGTAAAGCTGCATCCCAACTAGAGCGAAGATAGACAGCACAAACACTGTGAGGATCATGACGTCCCGCAACCGGCGGACCGCTACTAGAAGGGCACCAACGATGGTCTTTAAGCCTGAAACGCAAAGTATATGAAAACTCCGATAAATAAGTTATACATGCTTCAGCAAAGGCAGAAATACAGCTTTAAAACATACACCTTTTGAAACCCCGTTTCAGCTACTAAGGCATTGTGAATTATACGGAAAGCTTTAAAACGATTTCAACTGAGCACCCCCCCCCCTTTTTGAAACTCCGATGTGTGTGATGTGATGGTGACACCCCGTTATTAGAACACAGTACATGTTTTCTACATAGTATGGATAATGTCGTGGAGCAATTATGTACGGAAACCATTCAAAATAACAGTTTAAATTTTACGATTTCAACTGAAGCCCGTCATTGCCATTTTAACACCTGTCATAATGAATATTTCACCCTTCCCCCCCCCCCTTTTAGTGAAACTTAATGCCTTTTTAAGTATATTTCCTCATGACGTCATGTACTTCAAATTTTCACATTTTTTGTGATGTAGTCTGACTTACGTGATGGTGAGAGAGTTCCCGATGAAAAAGGTCGGAGGAAGAGAAAAACGGGAGAAGTGAGTCTCGTGTGTCTCATGGTAAACGAAGTGAGAGACACAAGAAAAGCATGAGACGTGAACGGAAGACGTGAACCGAGAGACTGAAGTAAGACAGTTGAAGTTCTGCCCTGACTGAGAGAGGACGCGTGAATGAACGCCTGAGAAGAATAAATGATTTGTGAAGTGAACGTTATATTTCAATAGGAGGACTGAATGTTTTTCCATACGTCGTAATGTCAGATATCAGAGTCCATGAAGTATAGATGGATGGTTCGAGAGACGCTGATAAATTCCTGAGTGTGTGGGAAGTCCGACCAGGTCGCTAGATTCAGCCAAGCAAGTCGAGCACGAGGAAGCATGAATGTATGTTTGCGATAACTGGCGATTCAACGAATAAAAGCAAAGAACTCAATATTCGTTCATGCTGTGTCGTTTCAACTCACTGTTCGTCTGAAAGCAATGTAAACAACACATGCCCCTAGATGAGCACATTACAAGTGGAGGCTCTAAAACGGACACATCCGGGACAAAAAAAAACGACAGAAGATAACCGGAACATCACTGAAAACACAGCGGATTGGACCAATTGAACTCGACAGCTAATAACGGAGCTGAACAGTCAATGTAAGTGGCGTTCTGTGTCAAGGTCGATTTCCAGTAATCGTCTGAGGTAACAGCAGTTGTTAGTCAAAATTTATTTGTTCAGAACAAGCAACGACAAACATGGTCAGTGTAGTGACCAAAAACCCGGCCAGTTGAACCAGTTAAACTTCAAAGCTCAAAGCGGGGCTGCAGAGTTGACGTAAGTGGGGGACTGGGTCAAGGCCGCTATACAGCCATCATCCGTGGTAACACCAGTTGCTGTGTCGAAATTTACCTCAAGAAAATGTGTAGAAATTTCAAGTACATTTTTCCTGTGTAAGGATGGCCAAATTCGCCACTGGGTAACGTGTCGAAATTAGTGATCGTTACAGTATCATCATAACAACTATACCGCGTATCGTTACAATCATCATAACAACTATACTGCGTATTGTTACAGTGTGATCGTAACAACTATACTACGTATTGTTACAGTGTGATCGTAAACAGCTATACTACACATTGTTACAGTGTGATCGTAACAATTATACTGCGTATTGTTACAGTGTGATCGTAACAACTATACTGTGTATTACAACATCAAAGTAGTCATCAATCAGTCCAGTGTTTGAAACAGTAGTTGCAAAGGGCAACAGCCACCAAGTACAGTGATCACTAAACAGGCTAACATAACGTAAGTGTGTTAAGACAAGACATCTAGCTGAGTGACATTGGTCAAGCGGACAGCAGACTTATATCCACATATTCGATCTAACATACAGCTAGCGGAACACCGCTAAACGAACATTCGTAGCACAGGTAGAACAAGTACACGTGCAGAACAGTTTTCTGTGAGTTCCTTCAAGTCTTTAGAACAGACAGTCAGTTTCCATGAATTATTCAGATTGACACCCATGTTCAACTTATAGACGAGTGCCGCTATTTTTCAAAAAAAGTACACTATTTCCATGATGAACCGCAATATGAATTCAGACGGGTAGTGGCCAATTAATGAAGTGACATTACCAACCGGAAGATTCAATTGCACGACACGATCTACAAGAGACTCGTTCAATATATTTCCGTTACAGCCGAGAAGTGTGCTATAGCGAAAAGAAGGATCCGTAGAATAGACTGTGTCTTAGCTCGATAGGAGCCATAGTAATTTTTTTTTTAAAAGTTGAGTAATTAAGTTCATAGTTGATATTATTGTTCTGAGTAGGTAGAAAACTACTCAGCTAAACATAGCGATTATATATCACATATTGATTTTGTTGGTTGTGATTGTATTGCTATTAAGCGTAATATTTGTGAACGCATTTGTAATTGTTATATTTGTACAGGAATATCGTATACATCTACAAGTCAAAAATGGCGGAATGGGTAGCCATTGGTAAAGAATTGGGCCTTCAGGGCGACGAGTTAAGGAAGTATGTGGATGAAAAACATAAAGAGAAGGTAGAGGAGGAAAGGAGAAGAGCAGCAGAAGAAAAAGAAGAACAAAAAAGAAGAGAAGCAGAAGAAAAAGAAGAACAAAAAAAAGAAGAGAAGAAAAAGAAGAACAAAAAAAGAGCAGCAGAAGAAAAAGAAGAACAAAAAAGAAGAGCAGCAGAAGAAAAAGAAGAACAATTAAGAAAAGCAGCAGAAGAACGAGAAGAACGCAGACTTGTTCGTGAACACGAACTAAAAGTTAAAGAGAGAGATGCTGAATTGAAACAGATGGAACTACTACAACAAAAGGAAAGTGAAGAGAAAAAAATTACTATTGCTGAGGAGAAAAAAAACAGCTGGAAAAAACAGAGGTTAGAGGCACAAATACAAGCGGACAAAGAAAAAGCAGAAACTCAGATCAGAACAAAGGAAATGGAAAATGAGTCAAAAAGAGAAGCAGCCATAGAAAAAGAGAGAATCAAAGCAGAAGAAAACAAATTCAAAAAATATGCAGGAATAGTCCGAAATTACTGCAAGGAAGACGACATCGGAGCGTATATAGCCAATTTCGAACTAGGTATGCACATGCATAACGTCCCATTGCAAGACTACGCTTTAATCTTTCAAAAACACCTGGCATTTGAACCTTTAAAGATTCTGGAAACAATTCCGGAAACCAAAAAGACTAGATTACAACTATATCAAAGAAAGGTTAATGAAGCATTACAACCTGCACGAAGCTGGCTACCGAAAACAGTTCAACGATTTGAGACCAAAAAGTAGTCAAACATTTGCAGACTATCTGTCAGAAGTGCAGAACATATTCCAAAAATGGGTTGAAGCAGCCAATGTAAAAAATGACTATAAGTTATTGGTTGATTTGTTGTTAAGATGTAAAATGTTAGAATCTCTTCCACAGCCAATGGCAACTTTCCTAAAGGAAAATAAGCCAACAAATTTAGATTCTTTAGAAGAAGTAGGTGAAAATTATTTTGCAGCACACCCTGATATCTTCGTGCTATCAAGTTCTGATTTGATAGAAGTGGGAGCAGCAGCCTATGCAAAACCATACCAACAGAAATTTCAGAACAAAAACTTTAGATATGGCAAGAAAGAGGTAAAGACCATCAATTGCAACCACTGTCACGATAGACATGGTGACGACGCACCTTGTGATAAAAGCCCACTATTTAATGAAAGAATCGAACAGGTGATTGCTCATAGAAAAAACAAGTTAAAGAGGTATGAAAATGCAGTAAAATGTTATATTTGTGGATGTTATTTGCACACCAGACGTAACTGTCCTGCTATAAAACGATTCAAGGAGGCACATGTAGTATGTGTAACATCAGATGATGAGTCAGAAAGCGATTCAGCTGAAGCCAATTCAGCTACCATGTACGAAACAGAAGAAGAATGTAAAATATGTTCTAAATTCCATAAGGAAGGCAACCTACCGTGTGGACACCTGATACCCATTCAGAACGCTAATCTGGCAACACACGGCCACGGTACTCTGAAATTTCAAAAGGTCAGATCCATGGGCAAACCATATCACTCCTTAGGGACACTGGTGCATCTATTTCCGGAGTGCATCAAAGACTGATTAGACCAGAAGATTTAACAGACAAATACATCAATTGTCGTACCTTTGGTGGTAGCATCGAAAGATATCGACTTGCTAACGTGTTTGTTAAAACACCATACTTAGAAAAGTTCATAACTGTTGCAGTATTACCATCCCCTTGTGCTGATTTGATTTTGGGAAACAGGGAAGATTTGAGAACAGTAACCGACAGGGACATTGTAGCTTGGGAACAAAAAAATATTCCAAAGTATTGTCAGAATGAAAGTACGCAAGACAACTCCCCATATCCCAAAGAATGCTGTAATGTGAGTGAGAGTAAAGTTACGAAAGACAACCCTCCAAATCCCAGTGAGAGTGTCAACCAAAGTGAGAGTGAAGATACAAAAGGTAACACTCCATACCCCAAAGAAGAATGTGTCAGAGAAAGCAAGGGAAGTGAAAGTAAGAACAAAAACATAGACACTAACAACGGATCTAGTAAGCAATCTAATGTAGAAGAAGAAACTCAGGTGGCTGCAGCAGTAACCAGAAGCATGACAGAAAAAATTAAAGATAATTTACAAAAAGAAGAAAGTCAAAATCAAATGAAACAAATCACAGTGGAAGATTTGAATAACAGCATGAAATTTCAAGAAGAGCAAAAAAGTGACAAATCGCTCACGAAATGCTTCCAGTTGCTGAATGCAACACCAAAGAGTAGTAAAAATGCAAAGTGGGAATTTGTGTTACATAGAAATGTTTTGACAAGATTGTATACCAAAGGGTCAAGAGTGGTTAGACAAACTGTGCTACCAGTTAATTATAGAAATCAAGCTTTAGCGTTAGCACACGATTCCATTTTTGCAGGGCATTTAGGAATATCCAAAACTATAGCAAGAGTATTATCTACATT